CACTTTTATGTATGTATGTGTGTACGTGTATTTTTTTATGTATATATATATATATATATATATATATATATATAATTCAATATACATATACTCCAATCGCATGCGTGTATTCGTGCTTCAGACAGGGGCACTGCCAAACAGTTAGAGGTGACTATCGTACGCTGACACTCACCGATTGCCGATGATTACAATTTACGATAGTCTATCGATGGATTTCTCCCTAAAACTTATCTCTCAGATATAAGTATTTTAATAGCGAGAAATAACGCTCTAGATTTAAGAATATCTGTTCAACTGATAGCCGGTTTTTTTGTTTTTGCTGAGCCGAATTCTTGAATGTATTAGAAGCGATTGTCGGATATCATTTGAGATCGGAAGTTATACATGGCCTGACAGCAATTGCGCAAGTCATAGATATCATTCCCACTTTCATTACTTGTCTGATCTCCTTCACCATCAGATAGAATATTTATTCGTTTCCTCACATGTGCAAACAGGCCCAAGCTGCCACGCATCAGTCCATCAAACTCGCCAAAAAAGATGAGCGTATTGGCCTAGGGCTCGGGGGAGGGGCTCCTCTGTGTCCAGTCGTATATGTCTACCGACTACTTCCAGACACCCCGGCTGCGCAACAGGTATTACGCTTGCTGGTCTATTTGGCAACGAACGATCCGATGTATACGATTTGTAGGGCACTAGCATAGCCAATACATAGGTCACAGCTATTCAGCATCATTGTTTGCAGTTGTTTTATACTTTCACGTTTGCGCCAAGAGTCCACACGGCTATGGATCTGGTGCAATTTCTTGTGAACCCCATCCTGAGTGAGACCAACCCTCTGCGACTGAAAGTTAGCACCTGCGATCTTTCAGAACATGATTTCTAATCACTCTGGCATATCTTGTTTAGAACATTCTGCACTGTGGCGATGAGATCGTATCTGTGAACGGAGTAGCGGTGGCCGGGAAGTCGTCCCAGCAAGTCGCACAGTTGGTGGCGCAGGCACCCACTGAAATTACGCTGGACTTTATCAGCTTTGATGCGGTGGATCCGGAAGGCCCTCCAGCGGTAAGTCTGGGTGTGCTTTACGAATGAGAGCGTTTCCTAGGTCATAATAATAAATCAGAGCAACCATCGCGTCTTTTGTTCGCGTATTGTATACGCTGTGTCATTTGTTGTTCTTTGGTTCCCGATTGTATATTTGACATGGCTCATAGCTACACTCGCTCACTTCGACACAGCACATTGTGTTGTATTTTGCAATCTCTGATTGTCAAACCCCCCCCCCCCCCAGTGTGGTATACATACGGCTAATACTAATACCAGCGAGATTAGTATTCTCGTACTTATCACTACGAATTTAGCATACTCGTACTTATTGCTACGAATTCGTTAAGAAATGTACGTCATTCCCTCAAATCAGACTGCAAAGGCTTCGATCTGGTTGAACGCGGGGCTTCTCAGGCTTTCCGACCGGTTTAAGAAACAGTCAGGGTCCATCGATGGCCTGGACTCGAAGGTAAAGTTGCTGTCACTGTCACTTACACGCGGATCCAACACTGTATGGCCGCGTACACAGCTAGTAACTATTGTATATCTCAGCATATCCACCTACGAGCCTCGAAATTAAATGCAATCGATAATATGTTAAAAAACACTTCTGGATTTGAGCAGGATTTAGGAAGATTTCTTTGTATACAATTTTGTCGCAATTTGGAAACAAATCTGTAGTTGCGACATGTAGGACCGACCTTGGAGGCTTTTGCTACTCATTCATTTCCCAGTCATCGTTTCGGCATAGTTCGTATTCGTTGCTTGTACATACATACTATGTCACCTGCTCTGATTGAATTCTGAATTCTCCATCGTATTTTTTCTTCAGGTCTCTGGCAAGGAAGAAATTGAGACCGAGAACTTCCGAATTGAGATCAACCAATTCGAAAACACCGCCGTAGTAGCGGGCCAATTCTTGAAGGAATTTGAAGCTTGTGGTATGTTATCGAACTCATCGAGCTCCACGAATCCCATGTGATCTCGTTGTTGATTCGAAAACTCTACATTGCGATGGCAAATATTGGCGCACCACGTGAGTTTCACAGCCATATCAGACTGTATTGTGTGCCAACGTTATTCCTACATGGTTGTATTAGCTTGTGCTTGTTGTTGTGTATATCACTTCGATTCAATACATCGATTATGAATTAGCGGTTGTGGACAACAACATAATATATCGTCATTTGCATTCGATTTAAATGCGTCTTGAATCACGGACAGGTAGGAGCCTGGCTGCAATGGGGACGGCACAGAAATTCTTTGGTGAAAACTTGGCTTTGAATGCGATTTACGAGAAAGATCACGAAATCGCAGAGCTGCTACGTCACACCGCCAAGGTTCGTGAGCAATTAATGGGCGGCTGATATTTTTAGACTAGGAAGAATGTTATGCAAGCCATTTGGTCCCGTTTGAGTTGTCTGAGATGAGTATTGATTATTCTTCAGGGCACCGCGGCCACTAACGCTGTACAATCATGGATGTTTAATATTTTGAATTGTTCATTCATCTTAAACCACGCTTTCTCTATCGTTCCGATTGTGTATCTATCCATTTGGAATGAATATGTTGCTTCTGCAGATGGCAAATAGCTGTGGTAATCAGTACCAGGCAGCACAATTTGCAACGCAAGATTTAGCGAAAAGCATTCAGACTTTTACGAGCAAGGTATTCGGCCGTACAAAAACGCAGTGAACACGTATATATATATGTGTGTGTGTATATGTATATATGTACGTATGTACGCATGTATGTATGTATGTAT